ATAATTTGATTTTGTAGCAGTGAACATAGACCGTGCAAACGTTCAAAGAAATAAAGTATTTATTTTTATCTAAGAGATTAGTTGACCAACAATGTTGGTCCTTTATACCTTTAAAAAAAATATATAACATAACGTTTTTTTTAACATTAAAGATATGCGAGTAACGAATTCTTTGCAATTAGGATAACTTAGATACCGTTTGTGTACGTCTGTATGGAAACATATTATTCGAATAACGAGAAATTTTTCGTATTTGGTCAACTAATCGTTTGATGAGCAATTTTCCGTATCTCTGATCTAACACTCATCGACTAAATAACAAAATCGTCGCTTTTTTATCGTGGAATATCAATTTTTACTGTACTTATAAATTTCTTTGTATATCTGAAGAGGACCTAAACGTAAGATCGAAACATGTAATATTATTTTTTAATGTTTTTTTTTCTTATTTTCTCTGTTATTGTTTTATTATCTTTTTTTAATTATAATCTTATGAAAAGAACAGTGGAGTCTCATTACGTTTTTTGACTCTTATTAGCCTTGTATATCACGTCGTATTTCGAATATTAAGAGTCCTGTTAATTTACGATTGCAAAATATATAAAGCAGAAAATTTTTGTTTTATATAGTGAAAAAGGGATATCATATACGTTTTTTCTTAAATTTTTTTTGTTAATAATTTTTTAACGAAGGACGACCACCACCTAAAACCTGTCGGAGGTCGCTCAGGGCCATGACCTCGACAACATGTGTTAAGGGCAAAGTCATCGGCATGATGTCCGTTAATGTATATAATTACCTTATTATTTAAATATAATATTAAAATTTTGTGTCTACTTTCTTATATAATTAAAAATTTGGCTACATGTAACTAGAAAATTAAAAATAAGATAAAAATTAAAAGATTTGCTAAAAATAAAGACATTAATTTACAATCAAACATAAGAAAATAATAACAGTGCTTTTATTGAATAATAATATAAAATAATCTTTTTAAAACGTAAAAATAATAGTAATTATATGAATCTTAACTTAAATCGTAACATATGAGAACACAATCAATACTAGAAATTAAAATGCCTACAAAGATTGAAACTATATCTTTAATGATTAAATAATTCAATGTGAATTATATATACATATATTATATATGTACATGTATATATACCATATTTGCAGTCTTTCAGACTGTGCGCTTTTAAAAACTGTAAATAAATTTATTGCAAAAAATATTATCTCGACTGGGAGTCGAACCCGGATCTCGACCGTTATAGGTATTTCAATTTTTAGTATTGATTGTATTCTTACATGTTATGTCTAAAATAAAGTTCTTATTGTTTTTATATTGCGTCGCCTGAAAGAAAGATATTATTAAATATATTGATTATTGCAAAGAATATTACTAAGGTCTCGGTAGTCTAAGGGCTTAGGGCGCTCGTACGGAATACGGAAGAGATCTAGGTTCGACTCCCGATAGAGATAATATTTTTCGCAATAAATTTATTTACAGTTTTTCAGCACATTAACATCTTTCTAATGTTGATGTCCGATTGTGCATCAAATTATTAAGAATTCCTTGTCAATTTAATTTAATTCATGATATTATTATAGAGGAAAGTTGCCGATACTGACATAGGTCTCCTAAAGTGACACCCCCTTATTTCTCTGAAACTAACTATTGTACTTTATTAATACTAATAAAATCATGATCTGTTTAGCTAATTAAAAAGAAGTACAAACTCATAATTCATATATTTGTGGCTTATTTCTATACCAAATCAGCTAAAAACCAATTCTATGAATCCGAGAAGAAAATTCTTATGGTGTTCTTTTGCAAATTGCGCAATTAAAATAATAGTGACTGTATTATTGATAATATTATGTCATTTTAAATGTTTATAGTTTCATAAATTAGTTTTCTATACAGAATAGGATATATCTTTATTTATAGAATAGGAATGTTGGTATTATTGCCTACTATGTCAATTTTGGAGCCCATTTTGTCAAACGCTCATTTTTGCATAATTTACGAAAAACTTAATTATTGCAAAATTGCAAACAGTATTATAAAAATTGCTTATACTAACTGATAGAAGATACTTTTTACTTTGTATTTATGTTTTTGAAGTTGTATTTTTACCTTTTGTTTAAGAAAATTGTCTAAAAGTAGTATGTCGGTATCGGTGACCTTCCTCTAATAGTTTAATTGCGTTTATTACTCAGAGGGAAACCAATTTGGTGCGCAGTTTGAATAGCTACAAATATAGTATATATGCATGTATAGTGTATAACACATATACAGGGTGTTTTTAAATTCGCGCCCGCGAAGTACAAGATGTGATACTTTATGCTAAAACAAACAACCGTTTCCTTTAACGAAATTGCGTCCGATAAATAATTTTTGCGCTTATTTGTTAACTTCAACCTGTTCTCCTGCAAAAACTACTTATCAGACGCAATTTTGCTAAAGGAAAAAGTTGTTTTTTGTGCTAAAAAACGAACAACTTTTTCCTACAGTAAAATTACATTCGATAAATAATTTTTGCGTTTACTCGTAAAACTTCAACCTGCACTCCTGCAAAAACTACTTGTCAAACGCAATTTTGCAAAAGGAAAAAATTGTTTCTTTTAGCGTAAAGTATGACGTCTTGTACTTCGCGGACGCGAATTTGAAAACACCCTGTATAATTCATACTGAATTATTTAAGCATTAAGGATCTAGCTTCGACCGTATAGACATTTCAATTTCTGGTATTGATTGTGTTCTCACATGTTACGGTTTAAAAAAAGATTCTTATTGTTTATAACTTTACCTAATTCTAATCTAAAAAGATATTAAACATTAATACGAGTAAAAATAAATTAAAATGTGGGGAACATTTCAACATCTCGCATTATTACAATTATTTATATAAGCAAGATTTTATTTACGTTTTAACGCGCGCGTGACATTCCGTGCTGCAAAACGTATCGTACTGATTTTAAAATGGATAAGAAGCTCAACTTAATGGGAAAAATACGACAATCCCGTTATCTTATGATTGAGACGTTAAATACCGTTTTAGATCGGTGATAAAAAAATCTGCATTATCAATGATTTTTTCAGAAAAACAAATTTTGCAGCAATCAGTGCCGCGGCGCGCCCGATTAAGGGTTACAAACAAAATTTTTTTCCAATTAGACTGTTGATTCAACGCATAGAGCCGTAAGATTAATTAGATATATGTAGACTAAACATAATATTAGGAGTAGGAATGTTACGGAGAGATATCCGGAAGTATCCGGTATTCAATCTTATGCGACCTTTTTTATTATCCGGCCAGATAGAGGATATCATTAACCCTTAAAAACACTTTGATCCCTTTTGTAACGTATACGCTACAGTTGGAACGGTATATTCAAGCCAACTTGGATTGCTCAGAACATTCATAAAAATGAACATATTTTAACAAATTTTTTTTCAATCGAAACGTCAGGCAGTAAGGAATATAACGGTCCAAGCAAATGTACGTATCCTTATTAATAAAAAAGTTATAAGCTTTAAAGTAAATAATAGTTTCGAAAAAAATCACATTTCATTTAAAAATTATTTTTCGTAAGTTACAAGAATATTTTAAATATACATTTTGTAAATTTCAAAGTAAAAACTTCGAACTTTCAGAAAAAAAATACTGCATTATTATATCTTTTAAAAAACATAATTATTTAAAGGGACGAAAATGAAGAAAATTTGAAATTAATTTTGGAAGGAAAACATATATTTTCTGTTGTTGAATAATAAATTGGAACAAAAATGAACCAAAATTTTATTTCTAGAATTAACATTGACATAAAAAATATTTATTGTAATTATAAGTATTTATATTGCATAAATGGTTACACACGCACGCACGCACGCACACCAGAGTGTCCCGTTTTAAAGGATCCACTGAAATATCTCGGAAATACTGCGATAGATCGAAAAATGTTTCAGATAGAAAAGTTTTTTTACTTCGAGGGGAACATAAGATTGGTTTGATCTTGGATGGCGTTGTGAAGGTCAGCGCAAGGTTACTTTGAATTTTTTAATGAAACTTCACTTTTCATTACATTTCTTATAGCTTATCTTGAGAGCTTTACAAAACACTATAATGAAATATTTTTTCATTGAATACTTTTTGAGTTATAAGGCTTGAAAGTTACAGTTCCGCCACCATTAGCATTAATTACTCAAGGTGTCCGACAGACGGCTAAAACCTTTTAAATGTTGTCCAGAATTATGATCTGGATAACATTTATCAAGATTAAGATCATTGGAGCAAAAGTATATTATAACTTACATTGACCACCAAATACTATCTTAAATGTCACACTTGGGTATATGGTATGGCCCATATTGCCCCATGGCAATTTTCAATGCCTGACATTTCCTGAAATCCTCGCAAATTATCTAAAGTTTTATGAAATATAAAGATAAAACCATAAAGCTTATTTTCTGACCCAAGACGGTACCCACCTTTTAAAAACAAAAAAGTTCTAATCTTGGAAATAAAAAGGCCTGGGTATGCCATATCCAGGCCTTTTTATTTCCAAGATTAGAACTTTTATGTGGATCCCAAAGAAAGTGTTAATATCCGACATTATATCCGATTAAAAATTTGTTTCTGAATATATTAAATTAATTTTTTCCGTCATATGTACATATGTACATATATTTTATATAATTATAATTATACATATTGATATCAGTTATTATTTACATGTTTATTAAAGGGTAATAATATGTTACATAATACATGTAAAAAATATATTTAATGTTTACAATACTTTCTGTAGCAATTTAGTTCAAAGCAATTTTATATTAGTATTTATATTATGTTATATAATTAGTATCTGCTGTATTAATACCACCATCCCGAGAAAGATTGTACAAATCAATTTGTAATTAATAATTTTTCCAAAATATTTTGTAGTTTATTAAAAATTTTGAATATTTTAAAAAATACTTTTTCTTATTCCAGATTGCTATGGTAAAGCGTGAGCCACCATCGCCAGAAGCAGCTGATGTTGGGGCAAAGAATCAAAGAAAAATGAAGCCCCAAAAAAAGAAGAAAAAGAGAGATCCTAATGAGCCACAGAAGTAAGTAATAATATTTTTGTCTTAATAAAATAGTAAAAAAGTTTGAGATATCATCCCTGTTAAACAGATTTTTTTACTATCACAAATCGAGTTCGCATTCATTAATTTTAGTGCTATTTATGTGCTAATTTGTTGCTCAAATCGGTCAACAAGAAATCGCGTTCGAAGTGGGAAGGGAGGTAACGTTGCCTTTAAATTGGCCCTCTCTATCGAAAGAAATATTGTAAGATTATATAAAGGCCATAAGGGGAGTCAAGTAAGCGTATAGAGCCAAACCAATCAGATATATGTAAGCCAGATATAATAATGAGTAGGGGTGTACCGGATATCCGGGAAGTATCCAGAATTTGGTTTTATCTGGTCCTTTTTTATTATCCGGCCGGTGAGAAAATATCGTTAGTATCCGCGCACGCACAACTTGTTGAATTTTTTTTATATTAACTCTTCATGGTTCTTTTTCAAAAAAGCCACGATGGTTACTGTGAGTTAAAATAATCCGACCCATCTTTAAAGTGTTATCAAATCGATAGTATTAGTTGCAATGATTTAAAAAAACTACAGTATATAATTGCATTCTTTAAGAAAATAGAACAATAGCGTTTCATTGAAAAATTTAATTTTAACATTAAAAAAAACCGTAAACATGTTAAGTTCGAAAAAATGTGTACTTTTTACTTAAAAAAGTAATTTTTACTTAAAAAATTATAATTTTTTAAATTTATAATATTTTTTAATGCAATTTTAGCCTAATACTCTCGAGATGATGTAGGGTAGACCGGGGAGTAAAGGGCCACTTTTGACATTTTTTGCTATAAAATAAAGAATATTTAACTCACACAGATCGTGTTGATATTTTTCGAAACTAGAGTCCTTTGACTATAAAATACATGCAAGAAAGTATACATATATACCCTTCATTACAAAGATATCGTAAATTTTACAGAAGAAGTTATTCGGCACTTCTTACCACATATGTGGGGCAAGAAGTTCCACATAATGGGGTAAAAAGTACCAATACTGATATATTACGTTTGAACTATTTTCAGAGATAAAAATAGGTATATACTAGAGAGTTTTTTTATTATAAGGTGGGTTTTTATTATTAAGAGGGTATTGGTAACAAAATTATAATAGAAATATTTCAGTTTTAACAGAAAATTAAATTATTAATGTTTTCTAATGTTTTCTTAATCTAAGACAAACTTTGAAAAGAAGAAACAAAACTAGCACTATGTCGTGCTCGAAAACAAATAAGAATAGTCTTTCCTCTTACACTTGATTTTTTGTCATTTTGACCGTAATAAAAAATTAAATCAGTCTTCCAATAATGGATGATTATAACGAATTTGAAAAAATATTTGTTATAAAAAGATAATTAAGCGATAAAATCATTCGT